CTACCTCTTGCTACAACTATAAATAGAGGTCTCTCAACCAAATCAAGGACACACAGACAGAGATACCAAGAGGCATCTCATACGTTCAAAGCATTGAAGCTCCAAGCTACAAAGGTCCGGCTCTTCAAGCTCTCCAAGTCTCCCATATATCAAGACTTGAGTCTTCAAGTATCTTCTAAAGTTCTTCAAATCTTCTATATCAAGATTTAAAGGAATCGGTGGTGGATCCAAGAACAAGCTACGAAGCCCTTGGATTGGCATTCGAGGAGGAGAATCGAGGGAAACTCTCTACAAGTTCGAGAAAACCTCAGAGATTGTACTCACATATTTTCTTAAATTTATATTACACATTTGTCGTGTATATTTCTTGTTTTGTTTGCAGACTTGAAATTTTATCGGGTACAAATTTTTGGCACGCCCGGTGGGACCTCTCTGCCTTCCATCTCTTCTCTTCGAATATTCAACTACATACATCATCAATGGCACCAAAGAGCAACAAAATCTTGATTGCACGTTCCAAGGCTACTGATGCTAAGTCTGTTCAGGAAGCTGCACATGTTGCCACCAATACCCGTACTACTGGTCCTATGACAAGGAGTATGACGAGAACTTCCACCCAAAGTAGTATGGAAGCTCCATCGGCACCAACTCCCGTCTTCGGTTCAACATCATCAATGAGCTATTCTTCCGCGACGGGGATCCAAGACGTTCCTGCCTCAATTGAGAAGGCTCTCGCCATGCTCGAATTTGGATCCGAATCCAAATTTTCTGAGCATGATGATGATTCATCAAGCACGGGATCAGCTTCTTCACATGAAACCCTTCAATCAAAATTTTCTATGGAAGATTCTGCTGTTTCTTCTACTGCAATGCCTGCTATGATGACAAATGCTTTAAGTCTCGAAGAGCAAGTTTCGAACATGTCCAAGATGATGGAAACCATGATGAAACACATCAAGGACCACGCTCCTGAAGGAAACCATATGAATTCTAAGGAGAACCAAGAGCGTGAAAATCCCTCATCTAAAGGTAAAGACAAGGTGAAGGAAGTATACGTGACCGCCGAGGGAACTATCCCCGTAGAACAGTTGAAGGAACTTGTTGAAGGCGTGATCAAAGACAAAAATGGGGGTAGTTCAAGATCGAGTTTTACCTACTCCAAACCTTACACTGCTAGAATTGACAATCTAGCAATGCCTGCTGGATATCAACCGCCTAAGTTTCAACAGTTCGATTGGAAAGGTAGTCCAAAACAACATGTGGCTCATTTTGTCGAAACCTGCAATAACGCTGGAACTTATGGTGACCAGCTAGTCAAACAGTTTGTTCGATCCTTGAAGGGCAACGCATTTGATTGGTACACTGATCTCACGCTGGGGTCCATCGACAGTTGGGGACAGCTGGAGCAAGAATTCTTGAATCGCTTCTACAGCACTAGAAGAACCGTTAGTATGCTGGAATTGACTAACACTCGTCAATGGAAGGATGAACCTGTGGTCAACTATATTGATAGATGGAGAAGTCTGAGTCTCAACTGCAAGGACAGACTGTTCGAACCCTCTGCCATAGAAATGTGCATCCGAGGAATGCATTGGAGCCTAAGCTACATTCTACAGGGTATACGTCCAAACACGTTTGAAGAATTAGCTACTCGTGCTCATGACATGGAGTTAAGCATCATGGCCAATGCAACTAATGGGCTTCCTATTCAAGCTCCGCGAGTACAGCCACCTCGGCAAAACAATGAAAGACAAGAAAATAGAAAAGGGGGCAAGCCTCCTTCAAGATTCAATAATAAGGAATCCATGGCAATAAACACAGCTCCCATGAAAATTACTACCAAAGTGAGCCGAAAGGTTACTGAGAAGTTGGATCCATCTCAAAATAGGTCAGTAAGAAGACCCACGTTAAAAGAGATGCAAGAAAAAGAATACCCATTTCTTGAATCTGATTTACAAGGGATGTTTGATGACATTTTCAAGGAGAAACTCCTTGAACTTCCCGAAATGAAGCGTCCAGAGGAAGCCGGTCAAGTCAATGATCCAAACTATTGCTGTTATCATCGCCTGATTGGCCACCCTCTCACTAAATGCTTTGTCTTTAAAGACAAAATTATGGAATTGGCCCGTCAAGGAAAGATCCTTCTCGAGGAAGATAAAGCATCGGCAAACCAAACAACAATAATGTTTGGATCTGTGTGTTGCCCGATAGAAGTTCTACCCACATCAAGCAGTGCTCTGTCTGTACAAACGGAGTTTGAAAAATCGTCGATTGAAAATGTTGTCGAAGATGATAATGAAGGATGGACTTTAGTCACTCGAAAAAGGACCTGCAAGCCAAAGACAAAGAAACACATCTTTCCGAAAAGCATGCGCTCGACAAAGGCTAAAGTAATAGTGAAACGACAAAATGCAACAAAGAAACAAAAGAGAGTCGCCACAACACCAATTTCGTCAGATTTTCAGCTTCTTCAAGAGGTTCGACAGCCCGTGACATTGAGAGAATTTATACCCAAGGGGTATTTAAGTGATGATACTGATAAATCCACTTCTTGTAATGTCGTCAAAGCTGAAAATCCTCAAGTCACACAAATTGGCACTGAATTTGAGAAAAAACTCAAAGTCGATGATAAACCACCGGTGGATTGTGCAACGACCATCATTTTTTATGATGACGATTTAACTGTTGAGTTCAAGACCCACAATCGACCTTTGTTTGTTAGTGCATATGTTCGAGAACAAAAGATGAATCGGATACTCATTGATGGGGGATCTGCTGTCAATATCATGTCCGTACGTGCTATGAAAGAGTTAGGAATCTCAAGTGATGAACTCTCCCAGAGCCGCCTCATGATCCAATGATTTAACCAAGGGGGGCAAAGAGCAATTGGCCTCATAAAGCTTGAATTGCTCATTGGTGAGCTGTCTTCAAGCGCGTTATTTCATATCATTGAAGCCAAAACCTCTTATAACATGCTCTTGGGAAGGCCCTGGATTCACGAGAATGAAATTGTACCATCTACTCTGCATCAATGTTTCAAATATTGTCGAGACGGTATTGTTAAGAAAGTTACTGCCGATGACAAACCTTTCACGAAAGCCGAAACTCACTTTGCCGATGCCAAATTTTATCTTCACAAAGAAGCAAAAAGAAAGGAATCGGTAAGGGAAGAAAGTCAAGATTCCAAAGTATCCATTTTGCGGTATACTCCAAGATCAAAGAGAGAAGAAGGTCAGTCTTCTTTTATCAGAAATGACACATTAAATGTTCCGCTCACCAAGATAGAGCCTGTTAAAATTGAGAAGGTGAGCTTGCAAGGGTTTGTCCGTCCCAAAGAAGAACCGGCAGTGGAACATTACTCGCTACCAACTAATCGGACTCAAGAAGGTTTTGATCCAAACGCCTATAGACTTCTTGCTAAGGCGGATTATAACCCAAATGAGAAGAATACATTGGGCAAACTCCCTCCTGAAGTGACTGGCAAGAAGACTCATGGATTGACACCTACGCAGAAAATGTTGAAAGAAAGGGGCTATAATGTTGAAAGTTCATCGATGGGTCTTGGTTATCAACCGCCCTCTCCTGTTCGTATAATGATCAAAAGAGCAAGTTGTAACTATGTGAACGAAGAAATGGAGGTCACAAGCCGAAAGAGATCTGTGTTCGACCGATTGGGAAATAAGTCAAAACGTACTTCTGTGTTTGAAAGACTTGGCCCGCAGCCGAGAAATCTGAAGTCGCCCGTCTATGAGAGATTAGGCAGTAAAAAACAATAGTACCAAGTTGCCAGGGAAGAAAGTCTTACTCCAATAAAGAGAAACGGACCAAGAAAGCGAGTCTCCAATTTCTTCATGCACTATGGAGACTTATTCAATGTAAGAATTGAAACCATTTTTGAAGAACAGGGTCAAGAAAGTATGGCTTCCTGTCACCATATTACGATCAGTGATCCCGAAGAAGAAGAAGAAGATGCAAATGACGCTCCCCCTGAACTTGAACAAGGGGTAAAAAATACAGTCGATGAGCTAAAAGAGATTAACCTTGGCACAAGCGACGATCCTCGCCCAATTTACATAAGCTCTTGTATGACTCCCGAAGAAGAAAAAGAGTATGTTGATTTGCTGCTCGAGTTCAGGGATGTCTTTGCCTGGAATTACTCAGAAATGCCTGGTTTGGATCCAAGGGTCGCCGTTCATAATTTGTCTGTCAAGCGAGGAACAAAACCTGTCAAGCAAACGCAAAGGCGCTTTCGGCCCGAATTGATTCCTCTGATAGAAAATGAGATAAATCGATTGATTGAACCCGGATTCATACGAGAAGTAAAATATCCAACATGGATTTCAAGCATCGTCCCTGTAAGGAAGAAGAATGGGCAAATTCGAGTTTGTGTTGACTTTCGAGACTTAAACGAGGCTTGCCCCAAAGATGATTTTCCTCTCCCCATCACAGAATTGACGGTAGATGCTACAATCGGGCATGAAGCACTATCTTTTCTCGATGGATCGTCTGGCTACAATCAAATACGCATGGCGCCCGAGGATGAGGAGCTAACTGCCTTCCGCACCCCCAAGGGAATTTATTGCTATAAAGTAATGCCGTTTGGCTTGAAAAATGCTGGAGCGACATATCAAAAGGCAATGCAAAGAATATTTGATGATATGCTCCATAGAAATGTGGAGTGCTACGTTGATGACTTTGTGGTGAAATCAAAGAAGCGAGAGGATCATATTCAAGACCTTCGAAGAGTTTTCCAACGCCTTCGGAGATACCAATTAAAGATGAATCCTTTGAAGTGCGCATTCGGAGTCACTTCTGGCAAGTTTCTTGGTTTCATCGTTCATCAACGGGGAATAGAAGTCGATCGATCTAAAATTGATGCCATTGTGAACATGCCTGAACCGTGAAATATTCATGAATTGAAGAGCCTTCAAGGGAAGTTGGCATATATCCGGAGGTTTATCTCTAATTTGGCCGGGCGATGCCAACCCTTTAGTAGACTAATGAAGAAAGAGGTACCCTTCGAGTGGGATGAATCGTGTAGGAATGCTTTTACAAGCATCAAGGCGTATCTCATGAATCCCCCAATGCTGGCTGCGCCCATTCCAGGAAAACCATTGATTCTCTATATTTCCGCTCAAGAACGGTCGGTTGGGGCCTTACTTGCTCAAGAAAATGATGAAGGTAAGGAGAATGCACTGTATTACTTGAGCCGGATGATGACATCTAATGAGTTGAACTACTCACCCATCAAGAAGTTGTGTTTGGCACTTATATTTGTCATTCAGAAGTTGAAACATTACTTTCAAGCACACACTATTCGACTCATATCTAAGTCTAATCCCATTAAATATGTCATGGCAAAACCTGTACTGTCTGATCGACTCGCCAGATGGTACCTCCAGTTTCAACAGTTTGAAATTATTTACTTACCTGCGAAGGCTGTCAAAGGACAAATATTGGCAGACTTTTTAGCCGATCATCCCCTACCTGCCGAGTGGGAGTTGACTGATGAACTTCCCGATGAAGAAGTGTTTATGGTCGAATCGTCGTGGTCAATGTATTTCGATGGAGCTGCTCACCGTGATGGAGCTGGTGCGGGAGTTGTCTTTTATACTCCTGAAGCAGATATATTGCCATACTCTTTCACTTTAACACGCCGGTGTTCCAACAATGTGGCTGAATATCAGGCGTTGATTCTCGGTCTTGAAACGGCTGTAGACATGAAGCAGTTGCATCTTAGAGTCTATGGTGCTTCAAAATTGGTGGTAAATCAACTTCTTGGTGTTTATGATATCAAGAAACCCGAATTGGTCCCATATTATAAGTATGCAAGACAACTCATGGGATATTTAGGCAATGTTACTATAGAACATATCCCTAGAAATTTCAACCAACAAGCTGACTCTTTGGCAAGGGTGGCGTCCATGATCACTCTACCTTCTCATCGAAATCAAATTTCAGTATGCCAAAATTGGGTCATACCTCCGATGTTTGATGAAGAAGATGATGGTGAGGAAGAAAATACTTATCATATTTTTGTCCATAAGATCGAAAAGGAGGATTGGCGTCATCTCATAGTAGATTACCTTAATCATGGGAAGTTACCAGAAGATCCCAAGAAAAGGGTTGATATACGTCGTCGAGCGCCACGTTTCATTTACAACAAAGGGACGCTTTACCGAAGATCATTCGATGGGGTGTTTCTACGATGTCTTGAGGAAGATGAGGCCATGCAAGCAATAGAAGAGGCTCACTCTGGGATATGTGGTGCTCACCAATCTGGCCCAAAATTACACTTTCGCATTAAAAGAATGGGATACTACTGGCCAACAATGGTGAAGGACTGTATCGATTTTGCTAGAAGATGTCAAGCTTGTCAATTCCATGGCAATTTCATCCGTCAACCTCCTGAACCATTGCATCCAACTGTAGCTTCTTGGCCGTTCGATGCTTGGGGTTTGGATATAGTTGGACCGCTTCCAAAATCTTCCGGAGGACACATTTTTATTTTGGCAGCGACGGATTATTTCTCAAAGTGGGCCGAAGCGGTTCCTCTAAGAGAGGTCAAAAAGGAGAATGTAGTGGATTTTATCCGTTCGCACATCATTTATAGATATGGGGTCCCGCGTTATATCATCACCGATAATGGTAAACCTTTTTGCAATGTAGCAATGAACAAATTTTGAGAAAAGTTTCATTTCAAACAATACAATTCATCCATGTACTACGCTGCCGCAAATGGACTCGCGGAGGCATTCAACAAGACCTTATGTAATATGTTGAAGAAAATCGTGGATAAATCGAAAAGGGATTGGCATCTTCGAATTGGAGAAGCACTTTGGGCATATCGAACTACTTTTCGACTCCCACGCAAGCGACCCCATACGCACTTGTTTACGGTGTTGAAGCAGTTCTTCCACTTGAGTGTCAAATACCTTCGCTAAGAATTGCAATTCAAGAAGGGTTCAGTGGAGAAGATAATGTTCGTCTTCGCCTTGAGGAATTAGAAGCACTCGACGAAAAGAGATTGGAAACTCAGCAGCGGATTGAGTGCTATCAGGCTCGACTTTCAAAGGCATTCAATAAGCACGTCCGACCGCGCTCTTTCCAGATTGGAGAGTTAGTACTCGCCGTTCGGAGACCGATCATTCTCACTCATGGGGGACAAAGAAAGTTTACTCCTAAACGGGATGGTCCATATGTTATTCGAGAAGTGTATACAAATGGCTCATACAAGTTGGTTGCGGAGGATGGATTAAGGGTTGGCCCCATCAATGGCAAGTACCTAAAAAGGTACTATGCATAATCAGAACTGCGCCATGCTCCTGGCCCGCATGAGTTAAAACTGTGGATGGCACCACCAATAGTGTAGTATGTGGTTAAACTGCTGAAACACTCCACCAAGTCTAAGGTGGTAAACAAATAGATACTCCTGGCCCGCATGAGGTTAAAATGCGAACGGCAGGAACTACGTGTGACTTGATTCCCTTGTTGGGATACGTAGGCAGCTTAGAGGGCGACTTCTAAGTTCAGTTACACCACTCCAAATCAAATCCTTGTTCCTTACAAAAAAAAAAAAAAAAAAAGGGAAAAAAAGAACCTCTCTTTTTCTTAAAATGCTAAATTTAAAAGTTCTTTTCTCTTAAAAAAAAAAAACAAGAGATAAGAAATAAAAAGCATTTTATTATTGGAAAAAAAAGAAGAACTCATTACATAAAGAAAATGATAAAAGAATTCAAGAAAAAGAAGGACATGGTGGAAAGTCTAAATATCAAATTTGTATTCCACTACAGCTACTTTATATGATTCAAGTACAGACTTCATGTCTTCAAGTTCCTTCACAGCATCATCAGTCAAGATGCTAGTATTTTCAATGAAAGATAGCTCATCATGCGCTTGGCTCATCAAATGCGAACGGCAGGAACTACGTGTGACTTGATTCCCTTGTTGGGATACGTAGGCAGCTTAGAGGGCGACTTCTAAGTTCAGTTACACCACTCCAAATCAAATCCTTGTTCCTTACAAAAAAAAAAAAAAAAGGGGGAAAAAAAGAACCTCTCTTTTTCTTAAAATGCTAAATTTAAAAGTTCTTTTCTCTTAAAAAAAAAAACAAGAGATAAGAAATAAAAAGCATTTTATTATTGGAAAAAAAGAAGAACTCATTACATAAAGAAAATGATAAAAGAATTCAAGAAAAAGAAGGACATGGTGGAAAGTCTAAATATCAAATTTGTATTCCACTACAGCTACTTTATATGATTCAAGTACAGACTTCATGTCTTCAAGTTCCTTCACAGTATCATCAGTCAAGATGCTAGTATTTTCAATGAAAGATAGCTCATCATGCGCTTGGATTATTTCGGTCTGGATCTCTTTGAAAGTCTCATGCTTTTGATCGATAGTTGAGCTGATTTCCAAGCTTTGTTTCTCCAAATTGATGAGTTCCTGTTGCAGAACCTTCTTCCTGTCTTCAATGGACTGCAACTTTTCTTCAAGACTTTGCAAATGACAAGTTAGTTCTTCTTCCTTTGCCTTAACTCTCCCGAGTTGGACGGTCGCTTTGGAAAGGAGTTTTGCGTGTGTTTCTTTGCTCATCCTTTCCCACGATGAAGATGCCAAAAGATCATATGCCTCCGCCTTGGCAAACAATTCTATCAAGTGGTCTTTTAAAGGGAGACCATTGGTAGGATCCGTTCTTGTGATTTTCACAATGATTTCCTCTGCACACTCTTTTAAAGAAGAGATCTGATCAATTGGAGTGTCAAGAATCTGTCCGCGAAAATCCATCCACAAACTTTGCATGTACTTTCTTCGATGCGCCTGGATCAATTTTTGACCATGAAATTCTGAAACCAATGCTACTTTAGGTTTCTTCCGGACTTCATGCAAATTAGTCGGCTCCTTCTTTGACAAGGCACCTCTACTGGGGGCAAGTTGTTTTGGGATGCTGATAATGACTTCGTCACCTTTCTTGTTTGAAATTATAGCATCAGTCTCAAGTTCAATTGGTGAGTTGGTACCAACATCTTCTTGACGGAATTCAAGAAGTGGGGGCTGAAAAAAAAATGTTAGGAGAGGAAAAAAAAAATTGGAAAAAGGGGAGAGATGATTACCTTAAGTGGCGACACTCCAACCGACGGTGGTGAAAATGAAATTTCCTCCAAATCAGAAGATGTCCTCTTCTTCGATCGGTTCCAATGACGGTCTTGGCTACTACTGCCACTCGCCAACGAATGGGCTCCTCTTTGGGTAGATTCGATGCCCTGAGCTTGAGTCCCTTCTTGTTCTATAGCCTCGAGAGAATCACGGTCGTCCATCGTTTCAATTTCGACGTCTCCTTCTGTGTGAGTCACTGATAAAGATTTTGAAACCTTGGGCGGCATCTTCTTTGCTGGAATCACTGGTTGCGCCTCTTTGATGGCCTGTCGAGAGTCCTTGAAAGACTTATTTCTTGTAACAACGTTTTCCAAGGGGCTGCTAATGGTTTTGTTCTTCCGCAAGGTGGATGAGGTAAGACCCGTTACGATCTCTATAGCTCCATCATGATGCACTGGCTCATTGGCGGGGGTAATCTTACCTTTCTTCGATGACTGCTGAGGGATCTTAACGATGAATTTAAAACAAGTTGAAGAGACGCTATTTGATCGAGTCGACCACCAGGCATCATAGTCTTTTGTGATCAATGGATGCTTCCTGTGCATGGGTATAGTCATCCGAGACCGCGTCTGCGTACGAACTGAGGAATCCCATAGTTGAATAGCTTCACCTAAGGTATAAGTGTGAGTGATCTCTTTCAAGTTGTTGGGGATGTCCTGACAAAAACCGAATTGCCTGCTGAACCTGCAAGGATTATATTTTTCAATAATGAAAGTATTGTCCTTACGTAGAGTTAAATGGCAAGAGCGTTGACTAATGAAGTAGCTCGTGAGTCTTGATGATAAGGATCCGTCATCGATCAACGCCTTTTCTCCATTCTCAGTCCAGCACAATTTGGGAAGCATCAAAGGATTCGTTTCTTTGAAGATTTCCTCAGCTTCCAATTTGGCCATAAAATATTGCCATTTTCTCACCACTAAATCTTGTCATGCGCGCGTGGTGGCTACTCACTTGATGATTTTCGTAATATACATCGAAGTATTGACCAACCCAAGCATAGACGTAATGGATTGGAAAAGTTACCCCACATTCTCCAAGGTTAGGGGCGTGGACGATCTCCCTCAACCCATGATATATGCTCGCAAGGACGGGAATTGCAAGACAAAATCTTTTCCCTGTAGCCATTAAGCATGCAACCTTGAAGACACTTGGGCGAATACGATCGACCTTTTTGCTTGGCAAAAGGAACTTGCAAATCCAACACGCTATGAATGTCGCAATATAGGTTTTCTTTCTTAGAGACCCTGGGATATCCAGGGTGTCAAAAGGGACATTGAAGTCATTCGTATCGGCAAGGTCATAAGGCTCCACGCTTCCAAAAGGGTTGTAAGTCATTTTTGGTTTAGATGTGGTCTTCCTTCTATTCGCTCTACTCGGAGGGGCCCTATACCTAGCCTCTCCTTTGAACCAGAAGCGAATCCAGTCCTTCATCAATACCCCTTGGTCATTAGTCCAAAGATGGTAGTAGGCGGAAAAGAGGTGCCTGCAACTCTCGGGGAGAAGTGGCTTCCCTTCTTTGTCACGAGTGAGGAGCTCCCGCGCCGAAGGAACAACTTCATCAAAAAATGTGCCATCGATCGAAAGGCCACCAAGTCGATAAAGGTCCCAAAGTGTGATGGACAACTCCCCAACGGGCGTATGGAGTGTGTTCGTCGAGGGACACCAATATTTGAAGAATGCTCGCAAGATATTTTCACAACGGTCGTAGGAGTATCTCGACGCGTAGACGGCTTCAAATATGCCAGCGCGTGTGAGTACGTCTTTATACCTTCCAAGCATGTCCTCAACCCACTCCCAATAATGGGAGGTGAAGCACTCCTCACCGAAGAAGGACGAAGGGGTTTTCCATGTAACTTTGTCAACATTAAAGCCCACGAACGGAAGCGTGAATTTGGCTATTTCTGGATCTCCATTGTGAAGTGACGAGTTTAATACGACCACTTCTTCTTCCCTCGACGTAGTGGAGAAAGTCGATGGTGCCACCACTTCTTTAGTCCACTTGCTAGTCCAATCTTCGAGATGAAAGCATCCTTCGAGGGGTATGAAGGATTCAGCGAGCGGCCCGATTGCTGGTTTGTCAACATGTAGTGACAAGCTCTTTGATTGAGTTCCTCCCCGTTCATCCGTCAGTGAAATGTGCGGCAGTGGCACAGCATAATCCTTAATTTGCATATTTGCTGGAATTTCGAAAAAGAAAGTATTAGGCGATGAAGGGAATTTCTTACAAAATTTTGGTAATTAAATTACCTAATCGGTGGCTTTCGTCAGATCCCCGAAATTGTTTCAAGCCCCTTTTCGGGCACGAGGTGGGCTATCTACAGGAGAACAAGTTAGTAAAATTGAGATATTGACATGGGATGGGGCAAAAAAAAAAAAAAACAATTAAGGTCAGAGTTCTAGCAAAAGAAGGGGAAGGGGCTTGCTCAAGTATTATATTTGGTGTTATCCTAATAGATGAGCCAAAAAAAAAAAAAAGAGGTACGGAAATTCAGATTAAATTTTCAGCCCTGAGGAATAGCTCAAAAATTAATATTTTGAGCCAATCTTCATTTTCTAATAATATTTAAAGGGTATACATGAAAATTTAAAGGATGAAGTCACCGTAGTATTAGGTAGCTTGGGCACCCAAGCTTTGTGACTCTTGGGTTCATATCACGCTATTTATGAACATGGCCAAGTTTGCTACACAGTTTACACACAGAACAGCAAGAACCGATTCACTCTCTACTCTTTGCACAATCAGTTGACCAAATTCATTGATCAAGGGGAATGACTTAGGCAGAGTCGAAGAAGCATCAGTTTCCACACGTACTCTTGCATGCAATAATCTACCTTGAGAAGCAGTAAGCTAATCTATACAGAGAGGAATTCCTACGAAGCTAGCCAATTTGCTCAAGAAAATGGAGGGTTATGCACCAGTTTATGACTAATAAAATCAATTTGAAAGCCCGAAAGCTAGGCGTGTGTGTGTATATATACATACATAAAAGGTTCTCAACTCTAGCAAAGAAGGAATTCATTCATAGCTTGGAAAAGTAGTGTGCACCTTAAATAATTCAAGGGTAGCTCGGCAACAGTAATGACTGGCTTCAAGCTGATTCTATCAGTCGAAGAGGCCAGCAAAGCCAGGCAAACCAGCAAATAACAAAC